AAGAAGAGGAAAAATAAGTCACAGCTGGGCGTGGTGGCACAAACCTGTCATCCCAGCACTTGGGAGGCTGAGACAGGAGGATTATTGTTTCGAGGCCAGCCTGGGCTACATTAGCAAGATCATGTCTAAAACCAAATGAAACCAAACCAAAAAAACCAAACCAAACCAAGGTTTTTGAGCTGGGTGTGATAGTGCACTCCTATAATCTCAGTGCTGGGGAGGCTGAGGCAGAAGGACTGCTCAGAGTTCAAGGTCACCCTGGACTACAACCTGTCTCAAAAAAACAAACAAATGCTTTTTGTCCTTGGTTGGACTGGAGGTGAGGAAAAGTGTGAATTAATCCAGACTCTTAGCAGTTGTTTAAAGGCTATAGGAGGGGCTGGGGAGATGGCTCAGTAGAATAAGTGCTTGCCTGGCAAACACAAAGGTATGAGTTCAATCCCTAGTTCCGCAAAAATAATAATAATAATAATAAAACAAAAAATAAATAAAGGGTACAGGAGTGGGGGGCTGAGGGATGAAGGGAGGAGAGCTTGGGTCTTTGGATAATTGAGCCCATGATCAAAAGATCCTGAATGTCCGTTTGTTTTGTGGCTGAAGGCCACTGACACCTGGGGTGTGAAGTTGGAGGGATTGGTGGCTCTGCACAGTGGGTCCACTTCTGCAACACTCAGCTTACTAGCCTGTATTCTACAATGGGCTTTGCCTTTTATTATTATTATTATTATTATTATTATTATTAATGTATTTGGTACAGGATCTCACTATGTAGCTCAGACTCATAGTGATCCTTATGTTTTCAGCCTCCTCATTGCTGGGGTTACAGGCATGCACCAGCACACCCCAAATGGATGGCAGGTTCAGTGAACCCGAGGATGGGGCTGGTGCGGCCTGTGGTGCCAGGGATCAAATCCCTGTCCCTGAGCCTTCCTAAGCAGTTGTTTAGTCTGCTAAGCTATCTTGCTGACCCTCAATTCAGCCGATCTTGCCAGCTTAGGCTGTAAGATTTTATCACACTTGAGATTTTGGGGAAAAAGAGTGATGGGTGTGGGCACTGGCCTTTAGGGTTTTAGGGTTATACCTGCCCCCCACCCTGTGGTGCTGTGATTGAACCCATGGCCTTGTACATGCTAAGCAAGCACTGTACCACCGAGCTGCCCAGCAGCCCAGGCCACTCCATTAATCCACCTCTCCTACCCCCATGTGGGCCCGACGGTGCTCACGTGCAATAATTAACTGCCCAGTGGCCTTCGCCCCGTCCTAGACTGTGCTCCTGGGCTCCATTCCCACTGCTCACCCCACTGCCCGTCTCCTAGGCCACTAAAACCTCAGTCATGCCCTGGTAGAAGGCAAGGCAGGTGTGGAGCACAGCAGCAGCTGGAGCCAACCCAAGAGTCGCCCCCTCTCCCAGGTATGTCACTCACTACCCTCTTGGGTCAGGGGCCACACACCTGAGACTCCCATCTCAGGGTGAAGTCTCTGAGAACTGGGAGGACGTTCTTTATATCTGGGACGCCCAGGGAATGCAGAGGGGATGACTCAGGTCCAGGTCTGCGTGTGGCCTGCCCAAGGTTCAACTACAAGTTAGGGTCTATCCCAGAAGTTGTGGCCCAGACTCTGGCCCATCGGCCCGGCACTGAGTTCTTAGTTCTCCTACTGGAAGTGGGGATGACCCCAGTAGCACACGTCACAGCTGGACTCAGATGCAGAGATGAAAGTAGGAAGGTAGGAGGGGACTAGGGAGGAGTGTCGTCCGGCACAAGGACACGGACCTAGAGAGCTCTGGCTCCAGACAGCAGACAGCAACAAGAAACCACTGCCCTGCTGGGGAGAGGACAGGACTTCTGCAGCCCCCTGCAGCACTGGAGAGCCACAGCATGGGGAAAAGCTCAAAGTGCGATGGCCTGAGTGTAAGGGCCCAGAATCACACCTGGGTCTTCCCTGCTGTTGACTCCTGGCCCAGTGGGTTCCACATAAATTCAATTGGCTATCACTTCCTTAGCGGTGCTTTCCCCCTACATTTAATCCTCGGAGGAGGAAAGACTTTGAAGACAGTTTTCCAGGCAGGGGTGGAGCGAGGGCCGGGCCTGGCTGGGCTGTACGCCTCTAATCTGCGCTCCAAGCAGCCACTTTGTTTGGCCAGAGCTGGAGCTGAAGAATTACCTGGTGCTCCGGAAGGAACAGATTTCCCTGGGCTGCCTCTGAGATTAATGAGTGAGTGATGGGTCAACAGAGGCAGGCCAGGACTGCATCGAGAAGTGAAAGAATTAGCAAGTGAGAGAAGGAGGACAGCGGGTGGGAATTCAATTCCGGGTTTACAGAGCCCCACTGTGCAGAGGGCCTGGAGCCGCTCAGCTCAGGCTGCAGTGAGAGTCGGGTTGGGAGGCCCTGAGCCCCTTCCAAGGGACAAGCGGGCAAGGCTGAGGCCAGGTACCCTTGCAAGCGAGGGCATCCGCTTCAGCGACTGGCTTGTGTGTGGGAATTGGGCTCGAGGGGGAGAGAGGACATAAATGTTCCATTGATTTGTGGAAAATGAATTTGGAACATTTTTAGGAAAGACCCAGCACCTGGTGGTTAGTGGAATGAAAGGAACAGTCACTCCTAAAATTCAGTATCTGAGGTCAAAGGATTGAAAGGATGGCTAGTGGAGGTCATCCTGTGATAGCCATAGATGGCCCCAGAGTCCTGACACCCCAATACTGTCCTCTACTCCTACCCCACTGGCCTTTGGGCCCTCAGACATCCCTGGGTCATAGAGCCTCCTACAGGTCTCTCTTGCATTAACCCAAGTAATGCAGCTGAGAAAGGCTAGAATCAAAGTTTAAAACAACACAACTGTGGAAATTACTGGGAGGTTGAGGCAGAAGGATTTAAATTTGAGTGCAGACCTGGGCAATTTAATGACTTAGTGAGACCTGTTTCAAAATAAACAAGAGCTGGGATATAGCTCAGTTTGAAGGCCCTGGATTTAGCCCAAATGCTTGCCAGGCAAGCACTTATGCCACTGAGCTATTTCCCCAGCCCCTACACTAAGCCATCTGGAGTCAAAATTTGACCTGAAAATTGATGTGAGGTTTTATATATACTTACCCCAGCAATATCAAACTAATCAAACTGTTTCTCTTCAGAATTTCCCCTCGATAGTTAGAAACATGTAAATCATATTATCCTAGTTTATATTATCTCTTATAAAATCCTAATTTTTTTTTTTTTTCTTTTTTGGATTTTTTGAAATCTAGTCTCCCTATGTCATCCAGGCTGGCCTAGACAAGCTCACTATATAACCCAGGATGGACTGAAACTCCTGATGATCCTCCCCCTGCCTCAGCCTCTTCAGTGCTGGGATTACAAGCCTAAACCACCATGTCCTGTAAAATCCTAAAACTTTAAAGCCCGGAAATATCTGCCTCCACTGATTTTGAATAAGGGGCTATGGATGCATGGTAGGGTCCTGGCTATTGCTGCACACTGCCCAGCCCAGACCTTCATGATCACCTGGAGAATGCAGAAAGGCTCCAGCCAGGGACTGTCCCCAGCAGTGGAGCCACGCTTCATGAGTCTGGGACAGCCGGACATCGCGCAGAGTTGGAGGAGGCAGCATAGGATCTGCCAGGCTCCACCCCCTGGGGCCAGGGCCATACCTTGAAGCCCCACCTCCGTATTCCTTGTGTCTCTTACCACAGCTCCTTTCGCCAGGAATTGACATGGCCCAGTTGGTGACAGCACAGCTGTTACTCCTGGTGTGGGTGGCCGCATGTGGAGCCCAGGCCAGTGCTACTCGGGCCCGGACCGATCTTCTCAACGTGTGCATGGACGCCAAGCACCACAAGGACAAGCCAAGCCCTGAGGACAAGTTGCACGAGCAGGTGGGTTGCCCTGGGGCTGACTCAGGAAGGGCCAGTCAGGAGCAGGAAATGCCGGCCCCCTTTGATAGCAGAGGTAGACAGAGCTGCCCTCCATACCTTCCGGTTTGCTCTGATGTGTGTGACTGTTCATTTCACCAATATTGTGCTCCCTGGCTTGCTTAGGTCTTGGCTTTTAATAGCAATGAAAATTAAGACTAAACCACAAATCTACAAAGGAGAAAAGGCTTCAGTTGGAAAGTTTAAAGAAAGATAAGCAAGTACTGTAGCAGGGCATGGCGGCACCTGTCTGCAGTCCCAGAGCTCCAGAGGCAGAGGCAGGCGGATCACAGCAAATTCAAGGTCAGCCTGGGCTCTATAGTGAGGCCCTGCCTCAAAAAAACAAATGAAGAACAACAAAAAAGCGCTCTAGTTTAGGTAGCAGGAAGGGTCACATTCTGGTATAGGGGTTCAGACTGGTGGAAGGCAAGTTTTTATTTTTCTGGTCTGACCTCAACTGTGTTTCGAGCTGCCTGGAACTCTCAGCCATTCTCCTGCCTTGGTCTCTAGTGCTGGCATGACAGGTGTGCCCACCATACTTGGCTGGGATGCCAGCTGTTAGAGTTTGGCTGATGTTCTGGGTTTAGCTTGATCATAATCTCAGTCCTGGTATTGAAAAATTGAAATCTTTATGGCTGGGGATAGTTTCTCATCTCCAGAAAAGATGCAACTCTGCCTTTTTGGAAGGAGATCACAGAGACTCTTGATGAATGTCCAGTGGAGCAAGAATATGTCAGTTCAGGATTAATTAATCTTATTATGTCAACCTTTATATATGCTCTATGTGATTAACGTTATCTATGTGTAGAACTGAAGGAAGATTGTGTATAGTAACAAAGGATACAGAATGACAGGCTGGGCATCTGTAATCCCAACACTTGGGAGGCTGAGGCAAGAGGATTTCTTTTTTTTATTATTAAATTTTATTTGTGTGTGTGTGTGTGTGTGTGTGTGTGTTTGTGTGTGTGTGTCCAGCTCAGCCCACCAGGGGGTGGGGCTGGCTGACATGTGGTGCTGGGGGATTGAACCAGGGGATTGAACCGCGGTCCCTGTGCTTTGCTAAGCTTGTTCTAAGTAGGTGCTTTAGACCACTGAGCCATCTCACCAGCCCAGGCAGGAGGATTTCTGTAAGTGGGAGGCACAGTGAGATCCTTTTTCTTTTTTTTGTGGTACTGAGGATTGAACTCAGGACCCTGTGCTTGCCAGGAAAGCGCTTATTACACTGAGCTATCTCCCCAGCCTCTTTTTCTTTTCTTTCTTTCTTTTTTTGGTCTTTTTGAGACAGGGTCTCACTATGAATTCAGTCTAGCCTTGAATTTCCTTTGTAGCCCAGGCTGGCCTAGAATTCAAAGGCATCCTACTCCCTCAGCCTTCCAAGTGCTGGGATTGCAGGTGTGTGCCATCACATCCAGTAAGATCCTTTTCAAACAAAGAGTTATGGGTTATAGAAAAATGGATTTTTGTTTGCAGGGGCCTTATGAGGACTGGTTTATATTTTTCAACTATTATTAGTAAATGTTTGCTGTCCCTAACTTACATTTATTGTGGGGAGTTGGTACATGTACCTAATATAATAATTATTTTTATGTTCCCAAAATGGCTTTTTTTTTTTTTTTTTTTTAACAGAACCAGGGATTGAACTCAGGCCCTTGCGCTTGCCAAGGAAGCACTTATTCTACTGAGCCATCTCCCCAGCCTGGCATTTTTTTTTTTTAATTAAATGTTTCCTTTATTTATTTTTTTCTTTTTTTATGGTCAGCTCAGCCCACCCTGGGGGCGGGGTTGGCATGGCATGTGGTGCTGGGGATCGAACGGAGGTCCCTGCGTGCTTGCCTAAGCTTGCCTAAGCAGGCGCTTTAGACCACTGAGCTATCTCGCCAGCCCCCGGCAATTGTTTTTGAGATAAGGTCTAATTTTGTAGTTTAGGCTGGCCTTGAACTCACTGTGTAACAGGTTTACACAGGATCACTTGAATTTGAAGTGATCCTCCTGTCCGGGCCTCCCAAATGCTATGCTGAGACTACAGGTCTGTGCTGCCACACCCTGTTCAAAATGGCTTTTAAATCCTTCGCTATCCCAGGATAAAAAACCAAACTACCCTTTTAATGAGCAGCAGGTAAGACCCCAGGATGTTGTCTGTGTCCTCATCTCTGTAGTAATCCCTAACAATATTATTGTTCTCTTACAAATACAGTGAGCTGTGTTTACCTACTTCAGAGAAAACTATTGACTCCGTAGGTGGCTATCTCCAATTATTTTCTTTTGAGACCTTGAGGTTTTTCCAACCCCTAACCAATTGTCTGAACATTATATGAGCCCTGGATCTTATCAGCACACTTAAAGGATATAATATTTTCTCTAAATAAAGTATGACGGGCTGGCGAGATGGCTCAGTGGTCTAAAGCACCTACTTGGAACAGGCTTGGGAAAGCACAGGACCGTGTTTCGATCCCCCAGCACCACATGCCACCCAGCCCCGCCCCCTGGTGGGCTGAGCTGGCCACACACACACACACAAATAATAATAAATAAATGTTTAAAAAAAAAAAAAGAAAATTTCAACCCAGTTCCTATCCAAATGACCACTATGTTTAAACAAACTATGGGGCTGGTGAGATGGCTCAGTGGTCTAAAGCACCTACTTAGAACAAGCTCAGCAAAGCACAGGGACCGCGGTTCGATCCCCCAGCACCACATGCCAGCCATCGCTGCCCCCTGGTGGGCTGAGCTGGCCACATACACACACACACACACACACACACAATAAATAAATAAATGTTTAAATAAATAAATAAAGCATGAAACCACAGGCTGTATGGATCTTATCCATAACTAGTGATCAAGAAAACAAAAGGAGTAAAATACCTAATCATGTCTTTGCTTTCAAGTAGCCCCGGCCACTGTCTCCAGCCTTGTTTCTGACTTTCTGCCCAACTTGTGGCTGGGTCACTGTGTGCCAGCTATCAGTATAGTGCCAGTGGCCCGCTCTCTTGGATGCTGGGTATGCAGATTGCACAAGGAAGGAAGTAGGTCCAGAAAGAGCCTGGAAGTGCAGTTAGAAAGACCTATCCTAGGCTGGTGGCACAAGCCTGCTATCTCAGCAGGTGGATGGTGGATCGATGGAAGGATAAGGCCAGCCTGGGTTGTGTAGTGAGTTCAAAGCCAGATTAACTACCTAGTGAGACCCAGTCTTTATTTTTTTTATTTTTTATTTTTTAAATTTATTTTATTTTATGTGTGTGTGTGTGTGTGTGGCCAGCTCAGCCCACCAGGGGGCGGGGCTGGCTGGCATGTGGTGCTGGGGGATCGAACCGGGTCCCTGTGCTTTGTTAAGCTTGTTCTAAATAGGTGCTTTAGACCACTGGGCCATCTCACCAGCCCCCCCCCCCCCCCCCAGTCTTTAAAAAAACAAAACAAAACAAAAAAAATCTATCCTGGGGTGGAAGTAGATATCAAGGCTTAGATTAGGAAAGAATCCTTGATCCTCAGAGAGAAGCACACTGCCTATGGCAGCTCTTCTCTGTCATCTCTCCTCAGCTTGGGAGGTGGCCAGGACTCTCCAACCACGAGGCTGCCAAGTATTTGAGAGTTTTGTTTTGTTTTGAGACAGGGACTCACTATGTAACTCTAGTTGGCCTTCAACTCACTATGTAGCCCAGGTTGGCCTCAGACTCACAATTATCCTCTTGCCTCAGCTTCCTTTAGTACTGGGATTATTGGCATGCACCACCATGCCAAGCTTTGGCTGCCAAGTCTTTGAATTTAGGCATCTGACAAACATTTGGGTTGTAGTTCTCAGCCTTGTTGGACCTGAAGTTTCTCTCTCTCTCTCTCTCTCTCTCTCTCTCTCTCTCTCTCTCTCTCTCCAGGATCTCACTATGTAGGAGGCCTGCCTAGCCCCTGAGGTCTCTTCTATATAATAATTATTTTTGCCACAACACCTTGTATTCTGAATCTGTCTAAATACTTAATAAAGTCAACATAGCTGGGCATGGTAGTGCATCCCTGCAGTTCCAGCACTCAGGAGGCTGAGGCAGGAGGATCACAAGTTCAAGGCCAGTCTGGGCCTTAATGTAGTAAGACCCTATTTCAAAAATCAAGACTAAAAAAACCCATACAAGATAAACAAACAGGGGCTGGTGAGATGGCTCAGTGGTCTAAAGCACCTACTTAGAACAAGCTTAGCAAAACACAGGGACCACAGTTCAATCCCCCAGCACCACATGCCAGCCTTCCCCGCCCCCTGGTGGGCTGAGCTGGCCACACACACACACACACACACACACACACACACAAAAAGATAAACAAACAAAAGTATATAGGAGTTTAGTAAAGATGGGAATTAATGAATTTTGTAAGTTCCTGCTGGGCTTCCACAGCCTCTGAGAACCCCTTCTTCTTCTTCTTCTTCTTCTTTTTTTTTTTTTACTGCTTCTTTTGTTTATTTTATTTATTTATGTGTGTGTGTGGCCAGCTCAGCCCACCAGGGGGCGGGGCTGGCTGGCATGTGGTGCTGGGGGATTGAACTGTGGTCCCTGTGCTTTGCTAAGCTTGTTCTCAGTAGGTGCTTTAGACCACTGAGCCATCTCACCAGCCCCGAGAACCCATTCTTCTAAAGGAGGCTCTTACCGCAAGTATGTCCCTGAAGGAGTTTTGACTGTGTTAGGGAATCAGGGACTGAAAGAGGGAGGCTGTGTGTGACTGTGGCTTGTTGGCATGGATTCAGCCCTGTATCTTGCCCCACGCAGTGCAGTCCCTGGAAGAAGAACTCGTGTTGCTCCACCAACACCAGCCAGGAAGCCCATAAGGATATCTCCTACCTGTACAGATTTAACTGGAACCACTGTGGCGAGATGGAGCCTGCGTGCAAGCGGCACTTCATCCAGGACGCCTGCCTCTATGAGTGCTCCCCCAACTTGGGGCCCTGGATCCAGCAGGTAGAACAGTGCTCTCGGGACCCCCAGCGCTGTGCCTCATTCGGGGTGGGCTGAGTGCCGAGGTTCTTCAGCACCAGCCCTTCTCCTCTCCGATCTCCCAGGTGGACCAAAGCTGGCGCAAAGAGCGGATCCTTAACGTGCCGTTGTGCCAGGAGGATTGCCAGCGCTGGTGGGAGGATTGCAAGACCTCGCAGACCTGCAAGTCCAACTGGCACAAGGGCTGGAACTGGGAAAAAGGTGAGGGCCCCGATGCGGCCGGCCGGGAGGAGATAAGCAGAGGTAGCGGTGTGGGGCTGAGATGACCCTGGGCTCAATCGTTAAGGTACCCCACCCCACCCCCACCCCGCTGCCACTGCAGGCTACAACCAGTGCCCCGAGGGAGCTGCCTGCCACCCCTTCCACTTCTACTTCCCCACCCCGGCATCACTGTGCGAGGAAATCTGGAGTAAGTCCTACAAAGCCAGCAACTACAGCCGAGGGAGTGGCCGCTGCATCCAGATGTGGTTTGACCCCGCCCAGGGCAACCCCAACGAGGAGGTGGCCCGGTTCTACGCCGAGACCATGGGCGGAGCTGGCCTCCGCGGGGCGGGGCCTCTCCTGCTCAGCCTGCTCCTGGTGCTGCTGTGGCTGCTGCAGTGAGCTCCTCCTACCGCCTGGCCTGCTGAGCCCCACCGCGCAGGGGCGTTCAGTTCCGGCTCCCCTGTGGGGCCTTGAGCAGCCGTTTAAATAAATGAGATTCTCCTCGTGTCGGTGCATCGTTTGGGGATGAAGGGGAAAACAACTGTCTTGCTTCTTGGTTTCCCTTGAGGCTAGTTGGGTCAGTTCCCGGCTCTGACACTTACTGTGAGCCAGTCTCTCATAGCTCTCAATTTTTTTCTTTTCTTTTTTTTCTGCCCTACACAAGGTCTCATGATGTAGTCCAGGCTGGCCTCGAACTCACAGCAGTTCCCACTGGAGTGCTGGGGTTTATGTATTTGGACTTGTAGTGATCCTCCTATTTTCAGCCTCCCCAGCACTGGGATTACAGGTGTGTGTCACCACACCTGGGCTCTGTTTCCCGGCTCAGTGTGCCCTGAGGGCAGGGCTGGTGTGGCATATGGGACTGGGGATTGAACCCTCGTAACCTGCTGAGCTATCTCACTGGCTCTAAGGATTTAATCATTTCATCTCTGTGCTGTGATCAGCTCTTTTTTTTTTTTTTTTTAATTTTTATTTATTTATGTGTGTGGCCAACTCAGCCCACCAGGGGGCGGGGCTGGCTGGCATGTGGTGCTGGGGGATTGAACTGCAGTCCCTGTGCTCTGCCAAGCTTGTTCCAAGTAGGTGCTTTAGACCACTGAGCCATCTCACCAGTCCCCTGTGATCAGCTCTTCAGTGGAAGAGCTGGGGATGGGAAAGCCCAGAGTGCTTTGAGTGGATGCCTAGGAAGTGTATAGAGGCCAGCAAGAGCTAACATTGACACAGTGGAGTGTGCCAGGCACTATCCTACATTCTTTACATTTTTTTTTTCTTTTAAAACCAAAGCATTTATTTTGAGTGATTGCTGCAATTCTCAAGATGAACTGGATGCTGCAACTGCTGCTCTCTTGGGTTTAGGTGTCGTTCCTTCGCGGAAGCCATGCCTGAATCTGCGATATACAATTTTTAGGTGCCTCATTCGACCGGTTCCGGTGGTATTTCGCCTTTTAGCCTTTGCACTCCAGTTATACTTTCTTTTGCACTTGGCGGGATAGCCACATTTGCCACAAGTCGACTTCTGAAGGTGGTAGGCCTTAGAGCCACAGCGGCGGCACAACGTGTGTGTCTTATTACGACGCTTTCCAAAGGATGACGTTCCCTTCGTCATCGTCATCTCGCTTGTGCCGCCGAGACCAAAGAGCTAAAGTGACTTTTTTTTTTTTTTTTTTTTTTTTTGGCGGAACCAGGGATTGAACTCAGGCCCTTGCACTTGCCAGGGAAGTGCTTATTCCACTGAGCCATCTCCCCGGCCATTCTTTACATTTTATTCCAATAAGATGTAGGTACTAGTGCTTGCATTTTATGTATGCATGTAGCAAAGTCAATGGGCCTATGCCTGGCCTGAGGAACTAGAACCGACACTGAGAATCTTAGTTTAGCAAAGCTTTCAGCCAGATGGGACCAGGAAGATAGCTCAGCGAGATAAGTGCTTCCCTGGCTGGCACAGGTCCTGAGTTCCATTCCTGGAACTGCACCCCCCTCCCCCCCAAAGTACACACAAACAGCTTTCAGGCACAGTTCTCCCTTTAAGTAAAGTCAGTAGCAGCTATAATGTCTTCATTAGGTCTGATAAAAAATACAGTGAGTGCTGGTGCTGGGTGCCATGCAGTGGAGAGGCGTGATGGTGTGTCCTCACCTCATGCAGCAGACATGGAATGCCACGTCTGGGTGCCATGCAGTGGAGAGGCAGGCTCCCTATTCATAGCACCCTCATCCCACTCTTCACTGGGTCAGAACTACATGAGTTCTGGTTCCTTTCCAAAGTCGAAGTGACTATGGAGGGGCCGGGGAGATGGCTCAGTAGAATAAGCACTTCCCTGGCAAGCTCAAGGGCCTGAGTTCAATCCCCAGGTCCGAAAAAAAAAAAAAAAAAAAAAAGAAGGCAAGGAAAGTGACTATGGAATGAATTTTGAATCAGCTCAAGACATCAAAGCAGGCCCAACAGTATAACTAGAAACAGTCAAAGAAGGAATACTCCCAGAAATACTTCAAAAAATTGGCAAGAATGATGGGATAAGTGTATTTGAGGCAAGGGGGACTATTTTGAGATGGATTAATGGCAATATGTTTTTTACTCTGATAATTTCTTTTCTTTTTTCTTTTTCTTTTCTTTCTTTCTTTTTTTTTTTTTTTTTCTGGCTGAGGCAGGTCTGGTAAGGCTTGAAGATCTGGGGATGGAACCACAGCATCCTGATGGCTTTGTTTAAGCAGTCACTTAAACAACTGAGCTAATGGGCAGGCCCCTGATAATTTCTTTTTGAGACAGGATCTTGCTGTGCAGTCCAGGCTGGCCTTGAATTCACAATGATTGTCCTGCCTCAGCCACCCAAGCACTGGGATTATAAGTGTATGCCACCATGTCTGGCAACATCCACCATATTTCAGATCACATCTAGTAGACCAGCAGAACAGCACTGGGAGTCTTTGTAGTTAGTTGATTGTGAGGGCTGTGATGAGGCTTGAATCACGGGCCTTGATGCATTCTAAGCAACCTCCACTGAGCTCATTCCCGGCTCACATTATTAACTGGGTTTTTTTTTTAATTTTTAATTTTTATTTTTTTTATTTGTGTGTGTGTGTGTGTGTGTGGCCAGCTCAGCCCACCAGGAGGCGGGGCTGGCTGGCATGTGGTGCTGGGGGATTGAGCCACGGTCCCTGTGCTTTGTTGAGCTTGTTCTAAGTAGGTGCTTTAGACCACTGAGCCATCTCACCAGCCCATAAGGATTTTTTTTTTCTCCTCGAATGCCTTCAGGGCACTTTTGGCTGGCTGGAGGGTTGTGGGGATCGAACTACAACCACCTGAGGCTGACAGCTTTGTGGAAGCAGCCACTTAAAGAACTGAGCTAGGGCCAGGCCACCTATTAACTGGGTTTTGATAAAGGTAATTTGCTCAACAAAATGGCGGTGGACAGTTAATTTCTACATGCAAAAAGATAGATTTAGAATGCCACCTCACACTATACACAAAAATTAACTCAGAATTGACTATAAACCTTTTTTTCTTTTCACACCAGCAATTCAACGCTACCTTATACTTGCCAGGGAGGCATGCGAGCTGCTGAGCTATCTCCTGGGCCAAAACTTAAAGTATAAATAAAATAATAGCATTGTTATCGTTATCACTATTATTACTTGAGATGGGTTCTTGCTATGTAGTTCAGTTTGCATTGAACCCACTATGTAGCCCTGGCTGTCTTCAGACTTACAGCAATCCTCTTACTTCAGTCTCCTGAGTGCTGGGATTACAGGTGTGTGCCTCTGTTACAGCCTGTGTCTAGTTCTCCCCCTAAAGCCTCACACAGTTGTTGGGGCAGGCTTCTAGAGTTTGTGATTAATTCATAATCCAATGTTAGGATTATCAGTGTGAGTGCTACACCCTAGAAAGCCTGAATGCAATATAAGGAAGGGAGAGGGGTTTGCTAGCTGCTGTTGCCACTGCTCCTCCCCTTTTCCTCTTGCTGGTTTGCTATTTTCCACTGTCATGAATTGCTGCTTTCTGCCATATACCACCCTACCTTTGAGCCAGCCAAGAATGGCTAAATAAACATTTCCTTCCTTAATTTTGGATGTTGGATATTTTGTCCCAGCAATGAGAGAAAAGTAATTGAGACAAAATTTGGTACCAGAATGGGATCATTGCTGTGACTATACCTGACCATGTAGTTCAAGAGCCTTTGGAAATGGTTTATGGGACAAGATAGGAAAACTCAGAAATGTCATCTAAAAGAGAAGCACTAGAAATACCTTTGGCTGTTCTGTATGGGAGAGTCTGGTCAGAGCTTAGAAGACCAGAATGCTGATAGAAATCCTGCCTGTAAAGAGCAGACTCAGGAGGTTTCTTCTGGGAAGAAGGACAGCATTGACTGTTGGACTCCAGATGATGTGTGTTATGGCTTGGCAGAAAGTTTGCCTGCATTTTGCTCTTGGCCAGAGACTTTGCCTGAAACTGAGATTAAGTGTAGTGGATTGATTAATCTGGCAAAAGAAATTTCAAGTCAGTCAAATGTTGAGGCAATGGCATGGCTATTGTTGGGAGCTTTTAGTCAGATTTATGTTGAGAATCAAGAACACAGATCCCAGCAAGATAATTTAAAATGTTGTGAGTTTGGCCAGAAAGGAAGTTCCAATAAAGCTGTGGGCTGCAAAGATACAGCAGAGAAGATCTCCAGTGCTGAGAAGGGACAGGATAATTCAATAGATGGCCTGAAGGCATCACAAGAAGTAGAAAACCTCCACCCTTTGCAGCTTAAAAACAGCAAAAATGAAAGGCTTTGCTTTGAGGAGAAAACCATGAGTACTATGTTCTTGAATGGCAGCAGAGGTCACACCAATTCCAGAATGGTGGTGGTCTACAGAGTTTGTTCTGGTCATAGTGCTTGGTGATCCAGGCACTCAACACCTACAGGTAAGAGAACAGAAAACCTGGCTACTGCTTCAGCTGGCAGCAGACCTTGGCATTATCCATTTGGCATTGGTTTTAGGCGAATGCAGACTGCAAGAGGTTAAGACGGCTTCCACTGAGATTTCAGAAGAAGGCCTTAGAGGCCAGGCACCATGCCCCTGGGAGGGCAACCTGTGAAACTGTGAGAAACCTAAAGTGCAGTGCAGACCCCAAAAGTTTGGAAAAGCCAGGAACATGAATCATCTAAGGAAAGCTGCAAGGAGGGAGCAAAGCCAGCCTAAGAGAGAAGCCTTGAGGGCCACAACCACCAGAAGTGCCACAGGAGCAGAGCCATGTAAGGCCTTTGGAGCTCAGAATTTATCACAGATTGCTTTGGATGTTCCACATGGAGCTATAGGACTTAAATGTTTGCCCTGCTGGACTATGGACTTGTTTTAGTCCCAGTGCCTTGTAATCCCCTGTTGTTTGTGCCTTTTGGAATGGTAATGTTTTTCTTGTGCCATTGAATGTTGGAAGTGTTAAACTTTTCATTTGTATGGTGGCTTATAGCTATTTGCTTTCGATGTTGGAGAAGACTTGGGACTTGGATTTTTCAGCAACTTTGAAG